AGATTTATTCTTTTTCTTTTTCCAATTTCCCGTTGGACTTCTCTATCAGCTCAGGGAAGCTAACCTCCCGTTTATGAGCGTAATCTTCTGTATAGATTCATTAACCTTTTTATATTAGTGAAGACCAGCGCAATTAATGTCTAATAGTATTAGTTCCTGTTACTCAACTCCACCGCAGCAGTGTTCTAATCCTATATCTCAAATTAAAAGTACCTACCAAAAATCTACATCTGGTTTTTCTGCTTTTTGTCAATGCGACATTTGCTAAACATCAGCAGGTAAAATTGAAAAAAGAAAACAAAATTGTAGAGTCATTTTACAAACTTCAACTTCCATCAGTTTAAAACCTCGGTGATGTAATTGTTTAAGCATGCATTAAAACTTTTACCTCAACAATATGGTTTGAGATTATGGCAGTTAAAAGTTCTCTTTCTACACGTCAAGCTAAATAGCCAGCCGCTAGCATCTTTAGGTGCTATCTAAAAATCTAGAGTGTAGCACACATGTAGTATCTTGAGGTTAGACACGAGTACAGTACTGTCAAATTTCTTCTCAAACACATTCAACCATATCTTCACCCTAAGCATTTGCTTTGAAACACTGGATTTTGGCACAATGGTATATATGGATTCATGTATTTGTTCAGCATGAAAGCGCCAAAGTAACCGATATGGATAAAATTTAATTTCCACAATGGTACAAGTATATATTAAGTGCTAAATGAAGACAATCCCACAACTCTGATGCCCAGGTAAGCACCAAAACAACTCATAATTTCAAATCGGGAAAATGACCAAATTCATCCCTAAACTTTTTTCTAATGCTGTTTAGTCCCAAATTTTTATTTTTGAGCAATTTGATACATGAACTTATATTGCGGCTCTAATTAAGAACCTCCGCAACAACGTCACCACAGAACATCGATTTAGTTCCTAATGGACCAAACAAATAAGGGTATTTTGGTATTTTTGGGTTATCTTCTTCCTCCACCACCAAAATCCATTGCTTGCCACCCACCTCTCCCTTGGGACATGAGAAACGAAGTGTAGTAGTAGTAAAATTTTCTTTTGAAGGACAATTGCCCGAGGAAATGATACAACTTGATGACATTCAGGAAATCTAGCAATGAGAAAGATAACTTGAAGTCTACTATGAACATTGCATTGAGATTGAGAAAGAGTATAACGAACTGAGGAGAAAAGCTATGTTTTAAAACTCGGACCGTGTCGAATCGGGAACCGGCCAAGTGTTTGGTTCAAGTTATACCTAAAAATCGAACAAATAAAAACTCAGTCAAACCAGGTCAAAAATCGGTTTGACCGGAAAAACCTGAAGAACCGGGAAGAACCAGCTGTCAAAGTTCTTTTTTATTGTGTTTTGACCCCCTCGGTTGTTAACAATTATTAATATACCTCAAATATTTCATACTTTATAAATGTTGTCCTAAAGTTTGGTGTTATTTTTCAATCAAGTCCATAATTTTAATTCTAACCTTGTTAATGTTCATTAAATAATATGAATTGCTACTTGATTGTTCTAATTTCTTTGTATTTTCTTGTTAAATATATTTGAAACCATAGTTATTAAATCCGGCCTGGTCCGGCGGTCGAACCGGTCAAACTGATGACCCGATCATTGAACCGGGCCGGATTCAAATCAGATCGTTTGAGCAAGAGGACCGTTGACTAGGCAACAACCTGGCGGTCCGACCGGATTAACTCAAAAACCCGGCCGGTTTTGTCCTTGAACCCGGTTTTGTGGAAAATTTTTTTGCCTTTGTTGGAGTTCAAACCTTGGAACCTTTGCCCAACACTACAACATACTTACCACCAAACTACTTCGAAATATGCTAATACACTACCTTTATTATAATATATAAATGTTTTTTCAATTCTACCTTTTTTTCTCTAAAACAAATATATTGGAATCTTTTAGTAAAAATTTATTACCCTTCAAACTCTATAAGTTATAAAATAGATTTCAAAAATAGCATATTATATAATTCATTTTAAAGACAAATATTATTTTAATAATTTTTTACACTTAAAATTCATAAATTAGTTAGATAATTACACTAAATATTGATAAAATTTTACACTTGAAGTTTGGTGTATTACTAAATAACTTTATATTTGATTGATTTTTACATGAATTAATTATTTTATAGCAAATTAAATTAAATGAGCTTTTGCTATGGCATTATTTATTGCAATTTATATCATTTATCTTATATAAAAAATTATGAAATATAATATTTAAATATATTTAGTGACCCACCGGTTCAACCACTCATCCACCGGTTGAACCAGTAGCCCGTTGACCCACCTCCTTCGTCGGGTTCCTTTCCGGGTTGGGTTTAATAACTATGTTTGAAACATCAAATGTGTATGAATAAACCTTTATTAATATTAACATGTTCTTAGGTATTTTACATACAATATTTTATTTTAAATAATTTTTTTATGACGTCATCCGGTTCAACCTAATCGAATTCATTGACTCCTGACCACTGATTTCGACCGAGTATTCGAGTCTAAGAACATAGGAGAAAAGTCAAAAACATCTAATATTGAACTTGGGGTTTCAAAATGTTATTATGCAGTCACCTTTTTAATTATTTGAAGTGCAAGATCTAGTTTTGGAATAGAAATCCTATCCTATGAAGTGAGCTCGATTGGAAAGCTTTTCTCTCTTCCTTGAATTTGGGATTTTTTTGCAAGATTTGATTCTAAAAGCTTTTCTCTCTACCTTTAATCTGGGAACTTTGGCTTTTTATCTTTTGAACTTTTCTTTGATGGAACGAGATCAAGAGATGCAACATTGGCAAAGGGATGGGAGGAGAGTAGTAGACAAAGAGAAAAGGAAATAGGTGAGGATAGGGGCGGTGACAGAGAGGAGAGTGGTGACGATGACCGGGATGGGGGAGAGGTAAAGTAGGAGAAGAGAAAAGAAATTAAAATAAAAGTTTTAAAAATATCTCAAAAAAGTTCTAAATATTAAAATACCCAAAAACTAATGATTTTTTTCCAATTTACTTGGTTATATTAACATCCATACTTGAAGTTCCCAAAATACCCCCATTTAGCTATTCAATTAAAGGTTTGAGTGCTTTACGTGGTGGCGCCACCGCATAAGTCCTTAATTAGAACCACAACATATATTCACTTATCAAATTGGCCAGAAATAAAAATTAGAAACTCAATCAGCATTAGTAAAAAGTTTAGAGACGAATTTGGCCATTTTCACTTTCAAATCCGAGCAAACATAATCAAAGGAAAGGAAAACGAAGCCAAGACTAAAGAGTTTAGTTCAATGAGATAGATAAACCATCATTCACTCGAATCAAGCTTCAGCGCCCTCAGTGGGCCTCCCGCCAAAAGGATCGTGAGATGGACCAGCATCCTGCCAATGTGGCGCTGCACCAGCCGCTGTAGATCAGCCATAACCTTTTGCTCACGCTTGGCCTTCTCCTCATAGTTAAACATGGCCAATGCACGCTTGTCCTCAGCACTGTAAACCTGGTTTTCCTTTCTAATACGAATAGCATTCATCCTCTGATGCCTACTACCACTCATCACATATCCAAGAGTCTCAAACTTCTGAATCTCCTCAGCTGATAAACCCACTTCACCTCTTCGAGGGATACGCTTCCCCTGCTGAACATACTGTGCAATGGCATCACCTTCACCTGGCCTAAGTGCCCCACCATAACTAATATGCCCTTCAGCCCTTGGCAACGGCATTGGCCCAACCACTGGCTCATTCTCTAATGCGGCTCTCTTCCTCGACTCAATAAGCTCCTTAAACTGAAGCACCTCACTATCAACTTCATTCAACATTGCCTTTTCCTCTGCTGCCTTAGGTATACTCTTAGCATCAACTGCAGAATCAGAACTCTTGGCTGATAATGAGGCCTCGTCATCCGATTCTGTTTTCCTCTTCTTGCTACGTTTGGACCTAAAGCTCTTCTGCTTTTTAGACTTCACACGATCTCCTGATGATGGACTAGCATCAGAATCCTCACTGCCACTCTCATCTTCGTTTTCACTTTCATCTGAATAAGTTTTCCTCTTCTTCTTGTTATGTTTGGGCCTTGAAGAGGTCACCCGATCTCCTGATGATAGACTAGCATCAGAATCCTCACTTCCACTCTCATCTTTGCTTTCACTTTCATCTCAGTAACTTCTCCTTCTACTCCTCCTCCTTCTCCTACCCCTGCTACTCTTCTTTCGCCTAGTCTGATTTCTGCTGGAAGATTTCCTCCTTCCCCTCATTCGATGATCTTCTTCCAAGCCTTCACTAGACTCATCTGATTCACTCTCAGTCTCAGAAACTGACTTTGACCTCCTACTCTTACGCCTAGAACTCGATTTCTTCCCCTTCCCCTTCCTCTTGGACCTCAAATCATCTGATTCAGAGTCAGAAACCTCAGTAGACTCCGATGCCGACTCAGATTCAGACTCGCTTTTAGCATCCGATTTCAAAATATCCCCATTTGTTGCATCTTTCTCACTAAATTCCTTTTCTTCCTCACTGTTTTCCGCGGTTTCCTCCTCCTCTGGATTGTTCGGATTCCTGGAGGACTAGGAGTACAATTCCAAATACAATTCTTCAGCATCTTTCTCAATTTCTGGCGCTTGAGCCTCCGGTAGTCTTCAAAGCTCAAGCCCCTCAGGTCCTCATCAGATTCCGAATCTGCATACCGCCCGTTCCTATAATCGCGATCAAGGTAGGAATTCTTCGGGGTATCGCTGTAGTTGTTGTATTTCTTCACCAACTTCAGGGTTTCAGACCTAGGGCTTCTGGTAGGGTAGGAATAATCCGGAGAAGCTCGTAGGTCACGGCGCCGGTCGTACTTTGAGTATTGGTTGTAGATTGGGCTCCGACTACGGCTCCAGCTAAAACTTCTGCTGCGGGCTACGGCTGCGGCTTCAGTTAGGGCTGGGGCTGCAATTGTGGGTACGATGGCGAGGTCATGAATCTTCGAAAATGTAGTTGTCCGAATATTCTCTCAACTTGAAAGGGCAAGGATGCATGAATCTCAACTATTATTCAATGAATATCTCATATATCAATATTTATACATACCTCACTTGCATATTAAACACATAAGACAGGTAAACGAAATAACAACCATAGCAACAAGAATGAAAATCATGACAGCCCATCTCATTTTAGCCCTCCACAATCAAAATCTTTCTGTAAATGAATAATGTGACAGCCCATCTAATTCTAGTGTTGTAGAACTCATTTTCTATACACAAAAGATGTAAGATTTTGTCAAGCAAAAACTGGTTTAGACCTATATAACAACATGTAGCATTTAGAGTTCTTTTGAAGTTTTAATTACGGCGGGCTTTTGCATCAGAGCAACTATTTATGAAGATAAATTCATTTTGGCATGAAAGCCCCGGATAGAAATTAGAACCTGGCTCAGTTCCAGCTTTCCACAATGTGAAAAGAACATCTGAAAGCTAGTGTTTCCTGATGTCACTGGAATATCAAGTGCTCTCTCTCATTGATTGCCCTGGTCTAAAAGTTCTAGACTTATTATTTTAAACGTTTAAACAATGTGACTTTAGATTTTCATGCTTCTAAAATTAGGGACATAACCTCAGCTAAATGTATACAAGTATTACTCTTTAGAAAAACAAAAACTTTTAATATGAAAATGCCAAAATGGACCAGAATAAGGTTTTTTTTCTTGATATTCTAGAAGTTGGAACTTGCACTTGGAAATAAAGTCAAGTGATGAAGCAAGTAGGATACATGTGATAAATGATAAGATTAAATGATTTAGGGCAGATAGAGATATCATCAGAAACAGGGAAAGGTGCTGCAACATTTCCAAATCATCTAGATGTTTTAAAGAACTACGAAGGCTAGCCTTGACAGTGAATGAAGACTTTGAAATTTGCCAACCAACAAGAATTCCATCAATATATTCATTGCTAGAGAAAAGGACCAAAGGAATTCATGAGTCTATCTGAAATTAAACGCTGATAAGTACTGCTATAAATAAAAGAGTTGTGCAGCCCATATAGAAGCTAGCATTGCTTCACAACCCAACAAGATAAACCCAGCAAGCACCTATTTCTGTTTTGGTGATTTTGTCCCCAGTTCCCCGTGATGTATATGGACTATGTCCTGTGTAAATCAGGTTTTACTTCTGGCCGCATCTTCTTTATTAGAGTACTTATTTGTGGTTTCTTGTATTTGCCAAGACGGCAAACCTGAGTGATCATTTTACGACAGAGTTGTCATTGCCATTGGGTGATTCGCTTGCTGCTATGTCAAAACATTCATTGAGTGTTTCCACGGTTATATTAAGTTAATGGAACTGAAAAGTCTGATAGAATTGGAGGAAGGATCTGCTTTTTTGGTTACAAAGTTTTGACTTATATTATTAATTAACCCCCTATCAATCAAGCAGCTCTGGCAAGAATCAGCTCGTGGCTTCACAAACTCAATGAGTGCACTAAAACTTTTACAAATGGTCTCACCAGATTGTAAGAAAAACACTACCCTACCCTACCCGGATTCTGAGCAAGTTAGAGGGTCGAGACAAAAACACCAAGATTAATAATCAGATTCCAAGAATCCTAAATACCCCAAAACTCAGCAGCCAAATTAATTCATTAGCATCAATCAAATCAAATGTAACCCTAATCAGGTAAGAACAAACTTAAACAAAAGTAACCCAAAAATTCATTCCAATCTAACTTCAAGAATCTACACCAGTGATTCTAGACAATTTTTCAAAGGAAAAGGGAGGAAAAAAAACTAATAAGAGACCATCATACCTCTGGAAATACTTAAGGAGTCTTCACCCCAGTTGGAGATGCTGTTGCAGGAACGGGGATGAGATGTCGCTGCCAGAGTGGGGATGAGCCGTTGATATTGGCTACTTTTAAAGGGAAAAAAATGTGTGAGAGAGAGATATATATATGATAATTGTAGCTGATTTTTAAAAGAAGAATAACCTAATTGGAAGAGCAGCTTACCCCTGAAAGTGGGTCTTCGCTGGAGCTGGAGATGTTACCGGCGAAGAAGAGATTGGTTTGCCAATGAAATGTTGCTGCTGCTGATATTCTTTTATCGATGGTTTCAGTCGTCTCAAAGTTTTTCGTTGAAGGCTGTGAAAAGAAGAGGCTGTGATTTTACGAAAGGAAAATAACTTCACAATGATAGATAAGGAATTTATTTTCCTTCTCTTGGTGTAACTTATTTTCCATCAGAAATCATTTTCCCAAATTAGATTGTGTCCAAACAGTGGAAAATTTGAAAAACGTTTTTGAGAAAATGTTTTCCATCCAATCAAACAGACCCTAAGTATGGAAATTGACACATTAGTCATCAAGGATAAAATGTTTAACTTCCATCTTTAAAAAAACTCTATGCACCGCTTCATGCATTAAACTATATCCTCCAAAGCTAGAAGTACAAACATTCTTGTCACTTGAACATGGATTAAATGAGAATCCTCTCTATTTTTAAGTAAACTTCAATGCGATAAAAAAAGAAACACCACAACTCACAAGATATAAGCCCATACTTTGAAACATTGTATGATCAATTGGACATAACTGTGAATAAGAAAGTTCAAAAATGAATCACAGGATTAAACACAGAGTAACTAAAACTTGATTCAACAGGAGGAGAAAAAAACTGCAAGGAATAGAAACGAAAAGAAACGAGTCTATTTCTTTGCTTTAGGCGCTTCTCAGCCATAGAAATCACAAAATCATTTCTTCTATTTTTGAGAGTACTGTTTTTTAAATATAAAACAACTTATAAAAGAAATCAAGACAGACAACAAATTCTGCAACTGCCAAGACAATACAGTAGCTATAGCAGCCAAAAGGATAGGAATAAAATAAAATTATCAAGTAGATTTATACTCATGTTGTCTAAACAAATATAAATGATATCTCATAAGTGAAGACTGTTTTCATTAATTCTTAATCCTATAGAGGGATTCAGCCCAATGGCCACTTTGAAATCACATTAGTTCATCTAGAAAAAGCTATATTGAAGCCAAACATGCTTACATTGGAAGGTCAAAAAAAAAAAAAAACTCTTACATATTGTAATTAGTGGACACCAAGAGCTTGATATTCCAACCAGGAAAATGAAATGACAAGTGGACCTTTCAATTTTTTCTCTAAAAAAGAAAACCAACAGAAACATTCCACATTTCAAATGCTGGCAGGAAAAAAATTACCCGAAATTGAAATCTCAGATTTTAAAGTTCCATAACTGTACTACACTACGTTTGTCAACCATAACAAGTTCTTAAACTAACAAGATTTCCTAGTCTGAAGCATATAGACCAATACTACAAGCAAAGGCATTACACTTAGTTTAGTATTTGTGAAGATCCAACATGATTTAATGTCACATGGCTGTATAATACTATATCAGAACCTACCTAACGGTATAGCTACTAAGTATTTTACCTTGGTGGGAATAAATTTTCTCCCTGTAGTTGGATGTCCTATTCTGTGGATCAGTAGCAGCAAGTTTTATCTTATCTTGAAGCTGTGGCAATGTGCTCAGGTTTCATAACTCCTCCATTAGTCATATTCTCAAATGTGACAATATACACCTGCAACATGAATTTTTCAGAGATCTTAGCAGCCATTACAGTTTCAGAAGTAAATAAAACCTGACCTTCCTAATTAGCAGTAACTTGTGCAAGAAAATCAAAGTCAACCCAAAAAGTTCCCCCTGATATTTCATCATTAGCATAGCAAGAGCGAATAATGGCCAGGAGCTTAGATATTATTCCAGAAGTCTTAATTTGACCAATAGCCTTTGTTGCACCAAAATTGATTATCAACTCTCGTATATCAAAATCAATGAAATGTACCATGGGCTAGATCAAGTTTCTCACCCTTGTTTCTTTCATTTCAAAAAAGAGCACAGCCACGCTGAATTATAACAGAAAGATCAGATGATCAAATTAGAAGAACACAAAAACATGAACTGCATAATTAAGATTCTTTCACTTTCAACGGTCTGTGAGAGAACAGAAAATATGAAAGAAAAGAGAATCACACGCAGTCTGCAGTATGTAACTATGAAACATCAGTACATTATCAAGAACCATGATGCCAAAATTTCCGACTTGGAGCTGCATAACTTACAAGGAGTGCACTAAAAGTTCCAATCTAAGATCTAAATTTTAAAATTCCATACTGATCTTCTGTGAAAGAATCATGCAATGTATGGGTTGAAGCATGGGATAGTCATTTCTGTTAAGAAATGATCTGGATATTATCTAAGATAATAGTCAATTGCATGTAGAACCAGAGACCCAAAATAGGACAAGAAAGTCATCCAAAATTTAGGTTGGCATATGCAAAGCAGAGTGCAGTAGACATGAAGTTACCAAAAGAGAGTATACTATCAAATCTACTGATCATGCACTTTGGGCAGAAAGAGAAACTAGCTTAGGTTTATCTACCACAAAACTCAATTATTAAAAGAGATTAACTTGGTAAAGACCAAAGCAAGGGCAGAAAACTCCCTATAAAGTTATTTTCAATTGGCTTACTGCCCAAAAAGAGAACATAAAACTAAAGCTACACATAGTGTCAATTAGGCAGACAACAAAAGTCTTCAGCCCCATGTAACAATCAATAAATTGAACTATTAGTTATTTAAGTATTACAATGAGATGAGTGCTTTATCATTCATATTAGTAGCAATAAATATCATTACAATTTTCTAGATGATTTGTAAAGTGCAAAATTCTAGTAAGGCGTCTGAGTGATTAACAAACAAAAAAGGGATAAGTGTACAGAAAATGCATAAGGCAACCAAAAGTAAACAGTGTAGCTTGCTTGGGAGATGGACAGCATCCTAGTAGGAAAGCCGAGCTTATGTGAAGAGCTTCAATTGTTGCAAATAATAACAAATCATCCTCCAAGGAGAAAATAAGTCATTTTGTAATAGAAATGATTCACACCACTTTGGTCTATATGCATAAAAATGCATGCCAAATGAAGAATATAAGAAAATTATATGTGCAATTACAAAAGATACAAACACTCCAATAAAAAATGAGCAGAAAAACCAAATTGAGTATTTAATGATACATGCAACAGTTATTTTTCATTTTCTCTTTTGTCACAACCAAAAAAAACTTAAAAAAAATAAAATTTTGCATAGCAAATGAGTTGACTTCAATAACACAAGTCAGATAATACATGATATCTCACCCGACTTTTACGCAATGAAAAGGTTTTTTTTGTCCATGAGAACTTTCCAAAGGTTTTAAGTGAAGTAATAGTATCAAGTGTTTTTTACCACAGTCCTAAGTGACAGAACCTTGCAAGTTAGAGAACTAAAGCAAAAGAAAGTGAAATAAATCCAGTGTTATACTAACCCATGATAGTATTAAGAATTATTAGTAAGATGTCAATATCTTATACCAATGAAATGAAACTGATGTAATAAAGATGAGTAAAGGAAATAATTGCCCATCCAATCCGCAAATAAAAAAGTATCATGTTTTCCTGTTGAAGCATGTGAAGGGTACCTATGGAACAAACCTGCGAGGTACACAATTCCATGACTAGCTAGCTGAATTTTGAGTATCCCAGAAACTATAGTCAGCACTGTACATAAACCTCAATTGAAGAAAAACCTACTTCGTACAACCTCAATCTGTTTTGTAAAACTTGACTTTGTAAACCATACTCTAGAGCATCATACTCCTTAGGAAAACTGCCTAGCACCACTTTTAGCCCATTTTCAAAACCTGACTTCCTACACTTGTCTGCTTTTCCTATTATGTTCCAAATCTTTGAAAGCCATAGTTTGCAATCACATAAATGTGATCCGAGTCCCAAAAAAGTTGATTAGTGCACTTTCAAGTAGTTAAAATCCAACAAGTGTTCATTCTGACTCTACAAAATAAAAGATTAGTCAACTACATAAAGTCCAATAATGATCCAATAGCCGAGCCAAAAATGCTTTATGCAACAACACAAAGGTATTCTCTTACCCATGAAAAAAATTAAGGAACTAACCATAAGTATCTCTTTATTAGAACAAAAGTTCTACTTAATGACTTAATTTTCCAAAAGGTAAATTAGCATGTTCCGCAGAACAACACCCAAAATGAAAAGACGCATAGCATCCTGACTAATCAACCTGTAACTTCCAGAAGATTGACTGCCCATGATTTTTTGGGGCGACAACTGAAAGCAACATGTTTAACTTACTAGTTACAGATTCTCCGAGAATATTGAGAACATTCACAATCTGAATTAGCATGTTCCACAGAACACCACCCAAAATGAAAAGACGCATAGCATCCTGACTAATCAACCTGTAACTTCCAGAAGATTGACTGCCCATGACTTTTTAGGGGCGATAACTGAAAGCAACATGTTTAACTTACTAGTTACAGATTCTCCGAGAATATTGAGAACATTCACAATCTGAATTAGGCGAGAGGATTTAACTGCACGGATAACTCATAGAATCCCAGAAGAAGAGGGTGATTCCACCCATAACTCAATTAATACCCAAAAAAAAAAATTGGGCAGAAATTCTCGTTCGAAGGAATTAGGGTAAAAACATTGGGAGAAACTAGGGAGAGAAAAGATGTAATTACACAATCTGAAAATTGGGGAAAATTAGGCAAGTAACCGTGAGAACATTCATAATCTGAATTGGGTGAGAGGAGGTAATTGCACGGATAACTCAAACAATCCCATAAGAGGAAGGTGATTTCACCCTCAATTCAAATAATACCCAAAAAAGTTGGGCAGCAATTTCCGGGCAAAGGAATTAGGGCAAATAAATCGGGAAAAATTAGGGAGAAAAAGGAGAGGTGAGCAAATTTACCTTTTGTTTCAGAGAGTTGGGGGGAAATTTTAAATCGTGGTTTTTTTTCTTTTACTGGAGAGTGAGAGAGTGACGAGAGAGAGGGTGGCAACTGGCAAATCGACGAATTAAGAAATGTGTACAGCGCAATGTTTTAGTTTTGCTTATTGTAAATATTATTTTCGTGAAAATTGATTTATTATTTGTTAATACTATAAGCTAAAAACAAGAAAAAAAGGGCAAAAAAGGAACCAAATAAATCTTAATACCTTACCATTTCACCTTCCAAAAACCAAAAGTCAAAGTAATAACTTTATTTCCATAAGAAAATTTATATTACTATGTAATAAAAAGTTTGAAAAATTTATGGTATCTTTGGAATCATAAAACAAATTGCAATTTCTCGATTTACGGAACCATACGCTTTTATCAAATAAAATAAAGTTAAAAACTATTTTAGAGAAATAGTTGACAACTATTTATGTTATACTTCATATTTAGTATAAGTTACTTCTTTTATTTTGCATTCTTTGATTTATTTACGTAATTTATATTGTCCATGTCTTCCATGTCAACTCAATGACAAAGTATATATGCAAATTATGTATTTTATAATTTGCAATCATGACACAGGTATGTAAGTATCAGAAACTTATAAATCTATGTGAATTTGAAATTGAAAAAAATTTAATAAACAAAATGAAACTTTTCTTAAAATTAAATGGTCACTAACATATTTTATAGAAGTCCCACAATTGTCTTCTCCCTAACAATAGAATACCAAATTTATATAGAATTTTGAATCGTTGCCTTTTTATTGTGTATTGCCATCCTTAATTTTCAATTGAGATCGTGTGAAGAATAATATGTCTCTACACTACCATCTCCTTGTTTGCTAAATCAAATCAAAACAAAGCAGAATAAAAGGAATCGTACTTTGCTTGCCCTTATATGAATAATAAGGAAATATATTTCATCTTGTTATTTCACATCAAAAAATATAAATCTCCCCTTATCTACAATTAACGTAAAGTACATATATAATTATAGTTTTAAATAGTCATTTCATTACTTCATGCATGCTTTGTCATAAATTAAGATCAATTACGGATCCAAAATTTAGTACGGAGGGACAAACCATCAAATATCTCAAAAATATTATAACAAATAAAGCATAGTAAATTTAAAATGAAAGTTCAATAGACATAAGTTGGAATAAATGTTTTAATATGAAGATATAATATAAAAAAAATATGAAAATTAGAACTATACCAATTATTTATTTATTTATTTTAAGTGGATGGATTTGAATCTACAACCTTCTATTTACATATCCTCTCTATACCAATTTGGTTACCATGAATGTCGACATTTAAACTATGCTCAAAACTCTTTCAATTTGTATCGATAGTTGAATTTCGTTTTGTTGTCTTTAATTTCCTATTTGTATAGTGCTGCCTTTATAGCAATCATAGATAATACAAAAGAAACTACAAGTTAATTTGTTACAAACACTTATATAAAAAAAAATTAATTTTAATTTTTAAATAAAATAAACAAAATAACTACTAATAATCATATTTTAAGAAGTCGGAGAGATATTATCCAAAAGTTCGGCAATCTTCTCAAAACAAAAAGGAAAAGGAAATAGACCCAAACAAAAGCCCACAAAATTGAGCATATTTTGCCTATTGTTCTGTTGGGGGACAAGTTCTCCAAGTGACAGCCTCTGATTGCAACCATAATGATGAGGATGGCTTCTGATTCATCCAACACATTACTGTTCGTACACGCACCTCACCATTTTATTTTCTTCACGATCAGTTTTCGTACAAGGTCGTCTCCATTCCAATCTTCATTTATCATTTCCAAAACACGTGGACTATCACCCATTTATCATTTCCAGCTAATAGTTATCCAAATCCCAACAAATTTCACATGAAAATGGTTCCCAAGGACACTTGTCTACATTGTTCATAACCTTTCTTTCATCAACAATTTTCCACAATTGGATTTAAGTTTAGGAAAGGGCTTTTTAGTTTGAAACTCTATATATACATCCCTTGAGGTTCTAGGTTGAGGAGGTTGGAGCGCTGCATAAGAGAAATTAGAAAGGAAAAGAGAAAAAAAGAGGAAAATTTTATTCAAGGAAAAAGGTAATGGGGTTGAACTAGCCATGTTCGATCTCATTTTTCTCTCTAGCTTTTGATCCATTTCAGTTACTCTTTTTCTGCACTCTCCAGAAATGTTTTTGTGTTTAAAATTTTCAGAAAAATCGCTATAATAGCCTCTAATTCGCGATCAAATCAACAACTTCCAACTCTTGAAGTTCAAAGCTCTTCCCAAGTGGAGAATCTTTGTGTTTTCTAGATCTTGGCCAACTATTGTGAGCCTGCATGACTCTAAACACATAAAAGAGTCGTAGGTAATTTGCTTTGATCAACTCTTTCCAATTTTTATGGCATGTTGGTTACTTTTAGTATTTTACTTCAATTTTTGGTTCAAAATAGTGATAATATTTGGTTTAGAATTTTGCATGTTTCCTCTTTTGATCTATGAAACTTTTGAAATGATCAATTTGTATTTTGATGGGATTTGAGCAAACAGACATGTTGAAGTTGGGTTTTGATCTCGAACTTTGATTTTCTTCTGTGCAAATGTGATGATTCCGGCTAATTTTGACAATTTGAGTGTGCTTGAGATGTCATAAGGAGGTCATTTGTGTAAATTTTGGGTTAAAATGTCATCAGGAAAATTTTCGACAAAGATTTGGCCACATGACGGAAAATTTTCCATAATCTAGAGACTATGGACTGGATTTGTTTGAATGTTACTGTGGGTCAACCCGGCTTGTCTTAGGTTGATTTGACCCTATTTTTTTTAAAAAATTTCACTTCTTTTTTTTCTTTCTTTTTTCTTCTTTTATGATGTGGGTTGAGGGTCAGGCTCGTGTTTCTTTAGGTTAAGCTAGCCTTGTTTTCTTCGTTGGGTTTGTTTTGTTTCCTTAAATGTGACTTCTTTTGTGTGAATCTGTGCTTGATGTTCCCAAGGACTTAGATTTGCTTACCTCTATAATTTGGACTTGTTTTGTTTTAAGTTTGTTTGTTTGGTTTATAAAATATAGGCTTATTTGGGTTTTTAATATAGACTAATTTGCATTTTTTCACTTGGTTTATTTGCATCTTATTCTACTTTAAAGTGTAGTGGTCGAAGACTAGACTTGCTAGTCTAAGATTGCATCAAGCTGACATGGCCCAAACATTAGAACTAGCCCAGTCTATCTGTGCCTTCATTTCGATGGGTTGATCTTAGGGATGCAAATGAATTGAATTGATCCGAGTAGTGCCAAGCTTGAGTTCAACTTGGTATAGCACTGTTCGAGATTGAGTTCAACTCGATCGAGTTTGAAATTCTACCGATCGAATTGATTCACTAAGGTTTCGAAGATGATTGAGTTTGACTCATTTGGTTCGAGGAAACTCGAGTCTAATCGAGTTCGAACTTGAGCTCTATTAGAATTTTCCAGCAAACTTTTTTTTCTTATTTACCTGCAACAAAAGAAAATTTCCAACAACATAGGTGATCAATCACATGCAATCCAAGTAGACAATAAAACAACACTAATACCAATTGGTTTACAAGCAAAGCAAGATTAGAAATGAATAGCACAATCCAAGTAGCCTTGTATAGTTAGTGATTATCTCCATTCACCAACAAGTAAACAAATAACTCACCACACTTGCAAAAACCTAAACTGAACACCATGAAAAAAATAACAAAGAGAACATGATTTCTATGAAGGCACCTAGCAAACCAATACCAAAAGTTACATAGTCATCAACAGATTCAGTATTTCAATTTGACAAGTTAAACGTCCCATAACTAGGCTTCCAACTCATCTATATTCTAGTACTAAGACTCATCATCATACACAAAAAGTGACCTACTACAAAAGAATAGTTCTAGAAGTTAATCTTTCTGTCCCATCAATAATCACAATTCATAACCAAATCAGATAATCAGAATACGAAAAGCAGACTTTTTCCGCAGTTCTAAAGTTAAACATCCGAAGACTATATTAGCCATTCTTTTACATCTTTCCTTCCTTGAGACAACTTCAAAACTTGTGAAAGATTAAATAAATGCAAGAAAACAGGAATGGGCACAAGTGCACAACAAATCAAATGGTATTAAAATATCCACAAAAAATAATAACAAGATCTGGAGCATATGGAGATTGCATCATTAGGGAATAGGAAGTAAAATTTCTGTGGGAGTTTTCACATTCTACAAAAAAAGAAAAAAGAACATGTAAACACCTTATTAGTGAACAACATAATACAATATTGAATAACCAGTTTAAGTAAAAGGTCGAAACTTACTTTTGTTTTCTTTTTTATCCCATACATATTTCTACACCAATAAGCCCCACACATCAAGAGTTGATAGTTTTTGGAGATAGTGAAGTACGATAAGCATCTATGCCTCTTGTTCGATACTAAATGGGGCTTCCAAAGCTACTATGCTTACAAGAATCGCCAATATATCAGCAACTATTTATGA